CCGTAGTCGTTCAATCGCTATCCTCATTTCTTTATCAATCTTAAAATCCTTGATTTCGTCTATTTAATTATCCTTAAAGCAATAATTGTTATTGTATTCGATAATAATCTCGTTTTTGTAGGCGTTCACGAGGCGATTGGGTGTTTGACAACTACTCTTCAGTGCGATACTTTCATGAAAGCGGTGTTTTCAAACTTGAGCAAATGTACAAAGATGTTAGTTAGTGCAAATTGTTATTGTAATAACAAGAAAAAAACAGAAAATGTTCACAATTCGTTCCATTTAATGGAAAATGTAAATACTCTCGAATTGAGTTTGATGTGCGTTTTACTGCGAAAATGAATAATGTGAGCGTTTAATCTGAGCAGCTATATTTTATTCAGTTGATCAACAAACCACTCGAAGCGCACTACGCTCAAGAAGATTGCGAGGCTCTTCTTCAGGTTTGTATGGCTTATGGGCAAGAGTTCATCGACTATGTCGATTCGAAAGCCGTCCCATTTCCTTACAATACCATCGTATCTTCCAATAATAATGATAATTTCTCAACAACTCATCAATAATACTCATTGTCAGTCTCTTCATTCACTTCTCGTTACTAATGTCATAACTGTGTCCTACTACTTTTCTCATTCAGAGTAATTAATCTAAACGAATTCATTTTGAGTTCGTTGCATTCATTCATCTAATTTCATTCTCATCATATACTAAGAGCTAACGAGTTGATCAACTAGCATTTCTTAGGATAACACAGCATCTCTTGTAAATCTGCTTCTGTGCAGTTGTTTTAATCGCATTTTGTAAACTTGATCGTCATACTCACTTCCATTTTGCATTTATACTCCTCAGTTCTGATTCATTTACTTTTACATGTTTTATAGTTTGTTTCTTATTTATGCATTGCATTTTGATTTTGCATGTTTAGTGCATTGATGCATTATATTTGTTTCGTGTCGTTTTTATTAGCATTCCGTTCACTGGTTTGAAGTGATTTACCTTCAAACATTTTTGAAATGTTATTCGTATTTTGTGCAGAAAATTAAATCTTGATTGATGGATTGCACTGTGAATTGTTGCAGTTTTCGAAATGTGTTAGGATTTATTTCCGAGCTAAATGAATCGCACAGAAGTACCCCCAGCCTGAACGAATCAGGTCTTTACTGATTATATCTTCTATTATTGTTACCAAAAGTGAACACCTCAGGTAGCATACGTAAATCACGAACAAACAACCCATCAAAAGAAAACCAAGTGAAAAGTCGATCACGAATTTTTCAATATCTCGAAGCATATAATCTAAAAATGATACTGTGATGAATTGAGACCGAAATTTTGGAGTAGCAGTTCGAGTGGTAATACGATGATTCACTGGTTGCAAACGCAATCACTGGGCCTCAAATTCCTTCCGGTAGAATTATTTGGAGGAATCGTTTGTTGTGACGAAAACGAATGACATTTGATGTATGGCTCATTT